CACACACACACACACACACACACACACACACACACACACACACACACACAGTTGGCCCATTAGATGGAGAGTACCAGCTTTGGCAAGTACTGTTTTTTCCTCTGCGTTCCCACACCTTGTGTGGCTGGGGACGTCTTCTTGGTGAGTCCTGATCAGAAGTGTTTTGAACTGATAGGGACTGTGTTAGGCCAGGTTGACTGGAGAAACAAATCCAGTGACACTTATCAGGAAGTAGTTATATGTCAGGAAAACATCCCAGATCAAGTCCGTAAGTCTGATACGCAGCCACAAGCAACGGCGCAGAGTGCAGGAAGATCCCAGGCTGGGGGGTGCCGAGTTGAGTGGACCCAAGGGCAGTGGACGCATCTCGGGGCTCGGGAAGGCCTCCTCGTGGCTCTGGCAGCTCTCCGACTGACTTGAGAGCAGGCAGAGAGAAGTTCCCATTAGGCTAGGACTTGATTGATAGGCTAGGCCCCACCCATATCTTCTTATGGGTGCCATGTTGGCACAAAAAACTGTCACAGACACGGAGCCAGGTATTTGCTGCTGGCAGAGGGACTAGCTTAACTGTATTCACTGGTGGTGGTGAGGTTTTCCTGGTAAAGCTGGAGTTTTCTCTGAGCATCTTTATCAGCTTAGGGAAAGCATGCCAGTTGGTGGTGACCGACTATAGAACACAGGACTTGTAAATCCTCATCCCCAAGCAGCTTGTCACCAGAGCTGTGGGCGTGGGCATGGGTGTTGGGGGCAGGGCCTCTATTGTTTTCTGTGCCCCTCAAGAGGTATTCTGCCACACAAACAGTTTGGACACATTTTAAAACTTTTTTTTTTTCACTCACTGGTGTGGGTCTTTTTCCCAGGGAGATTATGTATGCTTTGGGAATATAATTTTTCATGACTGCTCAATATTAACATAGTTGAGTATATTTCCAGCTCTTGGTCTCCAGGAGCCTTGTGGGGTGACCCCAAGATCATACCTAGGGTCCAGCATTGCTACCTCTCCCCTAAGCCGCCACTCTCACTCACCCTTTCCCAGGCGCCTAGCCTCCAGTCTGGGCTCAGTCTCCTCCACACTGGGGTAAGGGGCATCTTTTGAAAGCTCTAATCTGCTCAAACCCCCGTATCACTTAGGATCTAGTCCCACTTGCCCCAGCCTCAGGCCTCTTCTCCCTCCCTCCTTCCCTTTTCTCCAGCCAGCCAGCTCCTCTCTGCCCCTGGGATACACTGATCTCAGACCCACCATGGGCCTCTGCTGGTTTTTCCTGTCTGCTTGGGCACAGCACCTCCTTTCGGCTCACCTTCCCTTCCACCCTGACGAAAGCAGCTTTCCCACAAAACCTTACATTGCCGCCTCCCTCTTAGCAAACTGCTGCATTTGGAATTCCTGAATCTTTGGTTTGTCTGCATGTTTGTCTTCCCATCACAGAGTAGGCTGTCAAATGTTTGTGTGCTGGCAGAAGGAACGAGGGTCTCTTCAGACCCACAAAGCTGCTGTGGGTGGTCAGAGCCCATCTGATGCCCAGCCTGGGTCCAGGACAGCAAACGATGAGCTCTGCTGAGCCTGTGGTGACCGTTGCCTTGCCCAGCCCTGGGGGCCTTATGACACACACTGCCCACTGCAGGCTTGGCTGTGTGCTGTGTTTTCCATGTTGGGACGTCACTCCCAGCCCAGCCCGCTGCTTCTGAGCCATATACTTATCCATGATTAGAACAGACTCGCTGTTTCTTAGTTTTTAATGGATTGTGATTTACTACTGGCCTTAATTATAGTGCTCAGATTGTCCCAGATTTGGCCATCAGGAGTCCCTCTGAACTGATGCTTATCTTCTTGTGACGCACCTCTGCAGATTTGCAAAGCACGTCCTTACTTCCTGCCTACTTCCTGCCGTAACTGGAAGCTCCTGGCTCGGCTTACCTCGGACCCACACTCTCGCAGTCATTTCTCTGAGGAGCCTGGTTTCTCTAGTGGGGGGTGGTTTCAGGGCTGAGATCTGATGCTGGACGAGCTCATTGCTACAGGGATTTCTTTGCTCTTGGGCCCTTCAATGCTGTGGCTCCATTTTCAGGTGACAAGGGTGTGGCAGAGTGGCTGACTACAGACCACACAGCGTTTCCTGAAAGACAAGAGTTGGGTTGGAAGGGGTGGGGGTGCTGAGAAGCTTCCTGAGCCCTGTGGTTTTTAGAACGTCCTATTCCCAGGTGACTGATGAGGGTATATTGTGTCTACCAACATGTTTTGGAACTGTAACTGAGCGATTTGCATTAGCTGGCTTCAGATGACTACCCTTCATACGTGTCTGTTGTCTCTCACCCCTGACAACACAGGGCGGAGGAAGAAGGGAGAGTCTCGGGGAATGTGGACAGCCTGCTCTGCACAGGGACATCGTGAACCAGGGGAAAACCCACAGGGCCCCCGAAATGGTCACGGAGTAAGGCTCCATTGCTGGTTTCTGCTTCTGGCAGTTGGGAGGGAGCCTGTGGAAGCTGTTGGGCTAGGAGGGCCTTGGGAGACTGGGGTGGAGGAAAAGGTGCAGTAAAGGGCCGTGCTTGGCTGGAAAGGTGTCCACAGTTCCCCATGGCAGTGTTCTGGGTACTTGGCACACGACTGGTTCAGAATGGGTGCCTAATTAAAATCTTCTTTGGTTGTTGTAGCAAGAACAGAGATGGGACAGTGAGAGGAGGGAGGTCTCCTGGGCTGAGCTGTGGGGAATTTAAGGGAGCTGCAGGAGGAAGTGGAGATGGCTTTGGGGCACTCAGGCAGGGGTGGCTGACTTGAGAGACAAGTGAGTGGAGTCAGAGGTAAGCCTGTGGGGAGAATCTGCAGAGGTCTTTCCCAGATGCCAAAGGAGGAAAGGCTGGTGAGAGGTGCTAGGTCTGGCTGGTATTCCCCCAAGCCCAGGTGAGCGTTGGGCTTCTAGCCCACTCAGTCGTGGCTGAGCTGCTCAAAAAGAACGGACAGGTGGGGTGGCCTGTCCTGAGACTTCGTGGGAATGGATGGACTGGTCGTCCGGCTTGCTAACTGATCAGGTGATGTATGTGGATGGTGGAATGAGTGCTTCAGTGTTTGAAAACAGCCGGGGCAGAGATAAAGTCTCATCAGGGAGAGGTGGTGTTGCCC